GTGCCCAGCTTTTTTCTTTCAAATCCTCCCTATGCAACCCTCTCCCATCAATATCTCTCAGTAAATACAAAGTACATTCCATGTGGTGGTAGAAGGCAAAAAGGACAGGTAAGCACAGTTCAAAACTACTGACATTAAAAAAATAAAAACAGGTCTGGACGGATGGCTTAATGGTAGAGCTCATGCTTTGCATGTATGAAGCCCTGGTGGGTTCAATTCCCACCAAGCAAACTGCAAAATCTAAGAAAACAATTGCTCCTCCCTTATTTCATCACAACAAGCACTTATAATTCTTAGTGCTAATAACCAATTCCAAGAACTCTATATCCCTTTAGAAGGTGTTTATGTATCTACACAGTAAAGTTTCTTTGCTTATGACAGCAGCAAAATACCCATGGACACCCTCAAACTAACAACTATATTCTAAAAGCAATCAAACATTCTCTCATCATACAGTAGATAGAACAACTAGCAAACTGGAAAGATTTTTGACAAGCTGCTAAAGAACACTTACTTCTGTTCCAATTCCGGGCTGCACACCCGAGTACACGCTGTCTGGTGGAGGACCACCATACTTCCTTTGTCCTGTCGTTACATCCAGGGTATAACCAGTCCTTTCAAGTAAGGCCTAGAGAATTAAACATCCATTAATACTCAGATACAGAATCACACAGGCCGAAATCGATATGTTAATCTTTTCCAAAAAGTACATCTTAAGATGTCTTATTTATTTTGAGTACTAGGAATCAAACTTAGGACCTCATGCTTGCCAGGCAGGTGCTGGGCCACTGAGCTAAATCCCTGGCCCCCACAGGATGTTTCATAGTTAGACAAAAATTGTCAAGATTCACCCTGGTTGCTCTCATATACAAGATCCACAACTTAACCTTTACTTCGCTTGACCCTCTCTGTTTCACAGTACTAGTCTATCACAAGCTCCATGCGAACAGGACAAGCCTCTCACACAGGGCCAGGGAAGGGGCTGGGGAGATGGCTCAGTGGAATAAGTACACTTAAAATATTTGTTACCTAGGAAATACACTCAGCCTTAAAGAAATCTTACATTTCCCAACAACCAACCTTCCTCACAACATTTTGTTAAGTACAAGGTATTAAGAGAAATCAAATAAATCCCCATTTATTTTACCACTCCTTTCCATATATTTAATAGAAAGAGCTATAGGGAAATCAATCTCTAAGTGTACAATTTTTTTGTTATAAATAGAAATAAAAAACAGGAGCAGGGAGCTGGCGAGATGGCTCAGTGGTCTAAAGCACCTACTTA